CCCCCCCCCCAGTCGGGAATCGAGTCCGGGTCTCCGCATGCCAACCTCACACTCCAACCGCATAGTTACCGCCGTCGGTATGTAACAGATCAACACTTTAATCGTTAACTTCCCTACCCGTAGGAAGGAAGTTATTGTAATGACCCCGAAAATCGAATGTGGGTATTTCATCACATCTCCACGTTTCATGACCCCTAGAATCATTCTATGATGTGTGAGTGTACACGTGTGCATGTGCGTGTGTGCATATGTTTGTGAAAATATCATCTTTCTATATTTCAATACATTGCTCAAAAATCCCTCAAGTAAATTTTGGTATCATCTCATTCCACCTCTTTATTGAAACATTCACATCTCCAAAAGACTTAGAATATTCAATTTTGCAGGAATGGAAGCAGCTGGGAAAGCAGGCGGAGTTGTTGAAGCTGCAATTTCTTATACCGGAGACGTGTCGAATCCCGTACGCTCCAAATACAACTTGAAATATTACACAAAGCTCGCAGACGAGCTCGTAAAAGCAGGAACGCACGTGCTGTCCATAAAAGACATGGCAGGGCTCTTAAAACCGAAGGCAGCTACCCTCCTTATCGACGCCATCCGCCAACGTCACCCTGATATCCCCATCCACATTCACACGCACGACACAGCAGGTGCTGGAGTTGCTGCAATGTTAGAGTGCGCTCGTGCAGGAGCAGATATTATCGATGTAGCAGTGGATAGCATGTCAGGGATGACCAGCCAGCCCTCAATGGGTGCGATTGTGGCTTCTCTCCAGGGTACAGAAAACGATACAAATTTCAACCTTCGAGATATTTCTGCGTATTCTGCTTACTGGGAGCAGACCCGTACACTTTATGCACCTTTTGAGTGCACAACAACCATGAAGTCAGGGAACGCCGATGTTTATCTCAGTGAAATTCCTGGAGGACAATACACAAACCTGCAATTTCAGGCTTACTCTCTCGGTCTTGGAGAATTCTTCGAGGACGTTAAGAAAGCTTACCGAGAAGCCAATCTTCTTCTAGGAGATATCATCAAGGTCACACCAAGTTCCAAAGTCGTTGGGGATTTCGCCCAGTTCATGGTGCAGAACAAATTAACAGCTGACGATGTGCTCAATAAAGCGGAGGAGTTATCCTTCCCAAAATCAGTTGTGGAATTCCTCCAGGGTGCTATTGGGGAGCCGCATGGAGGATTCCCTGAGCCATTGAGATCCAAAGTGCTTAAGGATATGCCGAGGGTGAAAGGCAGGCCTGGAGCTAGTCTTACGTCTTTAGATTTTGGGAAATTGGAGAAGGAATTACGAGAAAGCCATCCATCAATTAACGAGAAGGACATCATGTCTGCTGCACTTTATCCCCAAGTAACCGAAGATTATCTGACATTTAGAGAACAGTTTGGTCCTGTAGACAAATTGGAGACAAGGATATTTCTTACCGGACCTAAAGTTGGAGAGGAGTTCGAGGTCACGATCGAGAAGGGAAAGACTCTAGGAATAAAGACCCTGGCGATGGCTGAGGATTTGACACCCAACGGTGAAAGAGAGGTATTTTTCGAGATGAATGGACAGCTGAGGTCGGTATTCATTAAAGATAAGGAGGCTGTTAAGGAGTTGCATATTCATCCAAAAGCAAACAAATCCGATAAAAATCAAGTGGGAGCTCCAATGCCAGGCACTGTTATTGATATTAGAGTAAAACCTGGAGATTCAGTGGAGAAAGGCACCGCTCTCATTGTTATTTCAGCTATGAAGATGGAGATGGTGGTACAGGCACCAAAAGCAGGCACAATCAAATCTTTGGATGTTGCTCAAGGGACAAAGATTGAGGGAGATGATCTACTACTCATAATGGAATGAAGGAAAATTTCAATGTTATTCAATGGCTATAGGCGATCCTAGTGGAACTGCTGCTATCTTGGCTATTCTAGGATGCTGTCATTTATTACATCATCAATTTTAGACTATGATACCAAACAGTTATGGGAACCCGAGGAACACTTTTTAATCATTATGAGATGAATCTAATACATATTGTGAGTGATGATGAGAGAACAGTGGTGGGATAATGATTTTGATTAAGTGTAGCATTGATTCATCATAATTGTGTTCAGAAACATAGGAACTTGGAATACATTAATGTAGCGAGCTGGTGGGGGACAGGATCTGTCAAACAATTTTGTACACTCATATTATTATAAAGATATCTAAGGATAACTGATATTTTTTTGTTTTTTTTCATTTAATTCATATACAGTGAGCTGCATGGCAATGTATCAATGTGGATAAAATGCGTTTGCCGAAATTTCAAATTGAATCACCTGCTTGGAAGAAAATCACACCTATTCTAAATAAAATGTCCCGTCCCTCCTCGAAAAGTCAACTTTTTGGATATCTCTCATCAGGAAAACTGTTTTATTAGATACTTCAACATATTTCTTTCTTTTTAGAACTTTCCCCAAGTATGTAAGTCGAAAGTGGGTTCATTCACTTGATAGATGACGCATAATTGCTGTGGTTATATAATTTCAGGACGTTTCTCCATTGAAAAACGGAAATACGCTTAAAACAAGTACTTTAGGACAGTGACCGCTTCATTTTATCATTGATTTTATCGATTTTGGATTATGTCAGAAATATTTTCTAGAATGTAATTGACTGTCACATGCACTTCCATAATTGATGGAAGATGTATGAATTCGATCAATTTCAGGTTTGGGAGTTTCATTCAAGTATGTCATTCACATGAAATCGATCAATTACTGATGGAATATTGTATCTAATTTAAAATATTAAATTTGAACAAATCTTTAATCTACTAAAATTGGTCGATTTTCCTGATCTCATCATTTTCTCGATTCTTTGTTAATCCAAATATACCTGGGTACCATAGAATTTCGGGCGTTAGTTCGATCGGTAAGTGAATTTCATTGCAGTAGATAATCGCTAACATTTCAGAGAGATTTCATCTAACCAGGACAAATGCTAGAAACAATTTCAACCACCGTCAAGATAGGAGCACTCTGTTGTACCCAGCGTGGGGGGTACTTATAATTATAGTAGGTTCTAGGCTTAAAGGGATAAATCCCACCAATGGTTTATCGGTATTTAAATATGAGAATTTATTGTATGATTATAATTACTGTGTCATCTGACTGTTTACCAAGAGTTTACGACTTTTGTACGCGTCGGAGTCCAATTCAGGTTTGTTCTGTGCAGACCCAATCGTCTCTTGAATAATGCATTGATTGTTTACAGTTCATCACTTGGTCAGCATAATCCAGTTACGCTGGCAAGTGTCACGCTGACAATGCTGTATGTCCACATTTTAAACAATAATGCAATTGACCAAATCTGGGGCATAACATTCCTCCCCTTTTAAAATAAAAAATTTATTATCAACGATAACAAAATTTTAACAATTACAATTGAATTTCTCTCTCTAAATCAATTCACTAATAAGAATAAATTTTCAACAAATCTGGAATGCTCCTACTGGTAGTTTCAAGCTCTCATTACTTCCTGCCAAATTAGGTGGTTTCGCAGTGCCTGATTCTTTCTTTGCCACAAGAATCGCCTGATCGTCTGACAGTCCCAGTTTGTTTCTCAGCTTATGACAATCCACTGCCTCATGACCCGAATATTTGCAGTATTTGCAAACAGCTCCAAACGGCATTACCGATGTTCTCTTCCCCTCCCCTCGGGGAAGCCTTGTGGAATGCTCGCGAGTGGGACAGTCTCTTGAAAAATGACTAGCCAAGTTGCACCTGTAACAAGTTTTCTCTACCCTCTGCCCATCAAAAATTCTTGGCTTTCCTGATTGCAAATTTGATGTTTTAGCTAAATCAATAGTTCCAATGACTGATTCATGCAGTGTTTTGAAAGCCCTGGCCCTTACAAGCACCTGTAGCTGTCCACGCAATCCAGTCTCGAAACTTGCTTTTGCTAGCTATCTAATGGCATCCTCCACCGTTCGTTTCTCAGCTAATGTCTCCTTGGTTTTCGATAACTCGTCCNTTTAAACAATAATGCAATTGACCAAATCTGGGGCATAACATTCCTCCCCTTTTAAAATAAAAAATTTATTATCAACGATAACAAAATTTTAACAATTACAATTGAATTTCTCTCTCTAAATCAATTCACTAATAAGAATAAATTTTCAACAAATCTGGAATGCTCCTACTGGTAGTTTCAAGCTCTCATTACTTCCTGCCAAATTAGGTGGTTTCGCAGTGCCTGATTCTTTCTTTGCCACAAGAATCGCCTGATCGTCTGACAGTCCCAGTTTGTTTCTCAGCTTATGACAATCCACTGCCTCATGACCCGAATATTTGCAGTATTTGCAAACAGCTCCAAACGGCATTACCGATGTTCTCTTCCCCTCCCCTCGGGGAAGCCTTGTGGAATGCTCGCGAGTGGGACAGTCTCTTGAAAAATGACTAGCCAAGTTGCACCTGTAACAAGTTTTCTCTACCCTCTGCCCATCAAAAATTCTTGGCTTTCCTGATTGCAAATTTGATGTTTTAGCTAAATCAATAGTTCCAATGACTGATTCATGCAGTGTTTTGAAAGCCCTGGCCCTTACAAGCACCTGTAGCTGTCCACGCAATCCAGTCTCGAAACTTGCTTTTGCTAGCTATCTAATGGCATCCTCCACCGTTCGTTTCTCAGCTAATGTCTCCTTGGTTTTCGATAACTCGTCCACCAATTCCGCTGTAATACTCTTAGTCCTTGAACCATAGCAGCTTACAGATTCTCCTTCTCATTGTCTCAAAGTGGATAACTCCATTTGTAACGAATCTATGGATTTTTTCGTACCATACAGAGCCACCAACTCTGTCCCCAATTGCTCCATTGATTGGATTTCCTTGTATTTCATGTCCCCCATAGCACGATCCGTCAATTCATTAGGTAAAATCAGTTTCAATACATATGGATGATCTCGTTCTCGTACACGGGAAAATACCAACTTGCAATTTCGCAAAAACCCCTCCAGTTTTGTCGGGTCGTTACCGTCAAACTCTTTGATAATTTTTAAAGTAACGTCGATGTTGTAATCATCCTCACCAAAATTAGTACGTCACCGATTCCGCAGCCAGGCCCGGTATTGCCCTTTTTCAGCTCGTTCCGCTGTTTCTTCTGCTGCTTCAGCTCTCGCTTCAGCTGCTGCAGCTCTTGCTACTGATGCTCTGGCCCTCGCTTCTGCGGCTTGTTCCGCTGCACGCGCTACATCAATTTCTTCGTTTCGTCGGTTGATGATTTCTCGCATTTCTTTCGAACCATCTAGTGTTGCATTGAATTGCTCTAACAACCTATTGTGTCGCGCGACTAAATCCTCGTAGTCTCTCCTTAACTGCTCATGACGTCTCGTTGGTCTTTCAGGTGATACATTATTCGCTAATCCATTCACAGCTGCCAAATTCTCGCCTTGGTCATTGCCTCCGTGTCATCTTTCGAAATTTCTCCGTATACGTTCCATCTCAGCATTGACGGCGTCTGTTAAACGATGAGGTGAATTCATATCTACGTCGGATAAAGTATCGTCCGAATTAAATGAATAATGTCTCCGCAGATTCACTCCAAAATCACTCAGTGCATCTGCCATCCATTGCTGCCTTACTTGTGGTATATTTTCTCCAGACCAATCCCGATCTGTAAAATTCCGCCTTGCTCTGAAGGTAACTTCTTGCAATATTCCCGCAAGTTCCTCTCCGGCTCCTGGCACCACTGAGTCCAGCGAGTTTGATCTACGTAATGGAAAATTATCTCGACTTACGTGTTCAGATCTACCCTCAAAACTCATTAGCCTTTGCCGTTATTTACTATCCACTGCTCCAAGTAGCCCAGGTATCCCCGAGTGACGTTACAATGACCCACCAAAACCTGCAATATTGCCCACTAATCCAAGTACCTTGTTCAATACTTACTCCTCTAAGTTGCCGCGATATCTACTCCTCCAAGTAGTTCGATGAATGTTTATTTCTCCGAGTAACCCAGGTATATCAATGGTATCCTCAAGTTGACCCACTGAAGCCCTGCACTCCGAAGTCCATCGGCCGCTCAGCTATTTGCTGACACGTGCTCCCGACCACTGCACCGTTGGTCAGTGACACCCGAAAAAATGCAACGTCGTTCCCTACGTAGACTTGGTTTCAATACTAGGTCGCTCCGTACGTAGATTTCAGAATTTAATGCGAACGTCACTCAGTACGTCGACGTGAAAATTCAAATACCTTATTATTGTAGCCGAACACCGCTGCCACCAAATGTTGTACCCAGCGTGGGGGGTGCTTATAGTTATAGTAGGTTCTAGGCTTAAAGGGATAAATCCCACCAATAGTTTATCGGTATTTAAATATGAGAATTTATTACATGATTATAATTACTGTGTCATCTGACTGATTACAAAGAATTTACGACTTTTGTATTCATTGGAGTCCAATTCAGGTCTGTTCTGTGCAGACCCAACCGTCTCTTAAATAATACATTGATTGTTTACATTTCATCACTTGGTCAGCATAATCCAGTTACGCTGGCAAGTGTCACGCTGACACCGCTGTATGTCCACATATTAAACAATAACGCAATTGACCAAATCTGGGGCATAACATTGGGCCTCATTCCATTCCCACGACTGATTCTTCCGAGTCAGACGGGTCAATGGTTCCACTATGGTAGCGAACTGAGGAATAAACCTACGGTACCAGGAGGCCATACCGNCCGCTGTATGTCCACATATTAAACAATAACGCAATTGACCAAATCTGGGGCATAACATTGGGCCTCATTCCATTCCCACGACTGATTCTTCCGAGTCAGACGGGTCAATGGTTCCACTATGGTAGCGAACTGAGGAATAAACCTACGGTACCAGGAGGCCATACCGAGGAGGCGCCTTAACTGCTTCAAGTTCCGAGGTTGTGGGAACTCTATCACAGGGGCGATTTTGTCCCGGTCTACTTGGAGACCGGAGCTGTTGACGATGAAACCCAGGTATTCTACCTGGGAGCAACAGAACTCGCTCTTTTCGCGATTGATCGTAAGACCAGCGTTCGTGATTCGCTCAAGAACTTTGCCGAGTAATTCGAGATGTGCCTCGAAGGACTCGGAGACGATGATGATATCATCGAGGTACACAAAAACCTTTGGATACATATCTTGACCTATCAATCGATCCAAAAGACGTTGGAATGTCGCGGGAGCGTTCGTTAAGCCGTA